GCGATGGGGCGCGCGCACCACCCAACCGCGCGTGCCGCTCCCCGCCGCGGCTGCACTGCATGCGCTGCTCGCGCTCCCTCCTCCGCCCCTCCCCGCCCCTCCTCCTACCTGCCCTGCCCTCCCACCTGCCCTTGCCTCCCCTGCCTTCTGCCCTCCCTGCAGGGCTCAGCCGCCATCTCCTCTGACGCCTACTTTGGCCGCGAGCAGCGGCGCCCCTCCGCCGCCTCCCCCACCGGCGCCGGAAACCTGGACATGTCCGCAGGTGGGCGCCCTCCTCCTGGGTGCACCGCCTTTGGCAGCTAATATGCACATGCGCCGCAGCCTGGTAGTAGCTGGCTGGCCAGGCACCAGCCAATGTCTCGAGCCTCAGCTTGGCTGCTTTGGAGGTCATGCGTGCTGACCCTGTCCCACCCGCCCCCCCTCCCCGTCTTTTCTTCCCCCAGGCGACCTGGTGTCCAAGATCAGCCTGACGGCCAAACAGGACATGGATGCGGTGAAGCAGGTGCGGGGGCGCGTGTGTTACTAGAGCTGCGTGCCCAGCACAGCCGCGCGCCTGCGGTTGTGTGTGTGTGGTACACGCGGCCCTGTGTGCGTTGATGTGTCGCTTGTTTGCTGGGCCACTTGTTTCCTCCCGCTCGCCGCACCACCACCCCTCCCCCTATCCCCCCTTGCTGCGAGCGCAGATGGCGGGCCAGGCAGGGGCCAAGCTGTCGCGCATGGCGCAGAGCTTCATGCGGGACCTTCAGGGCGGCTACTAGGCGGCTACCAGGCGGCTACCTATAGGCCCCACCGCCCACCCCGCACCTCGCTTTACCAGGCCTGGCCTGGAGGCAGCCACCCCTGGCAGCCAGCCGGCGCGGGGGCCGGCGTGCCGCACGGCGCGCCAGCCTGCCGGCTGTTGGGGCGGCGCGCTCCACCGTGCAGCAGGCTTCGCGCGCTCATCGCCTGCTGTCCGCTCTCCCCCTCTGTGATTGTTTCTGCTCCCGTGCTTTTGGCCTATTGCTTCCTTGTACGCTGTTGGTTGTCTGTCCCCCGGGGCGGCACCCCCGCTGTGCCCTGGGGCGGCGGCGCCGCCGCCGGACGCATCCCATTGTGCAACAGATCACCGCCGCCGTGGGGCCATGTGGCTTAGCCTTACAGCATGGCTGCCCAGGGATCCAGGAAACAGTTGGAAAAAGGAGGCGAAAAGGGCAGGATTCGGAGCCGCCGCCGGGCATCGTTCGTGGGAGCAGAGGGAGAGGAGCGGCAGCAGGCGCTCAGGCCACCACCGGCTCGGCGGCAGGGCCAGCGCGGGGCCAGCATCGAGGCAACAAGCAGGGGCAGCGGCTGGCAAGTGGTAGAAACACAGCAGGAGAAGAGGCGGCAGGAGAGAAGTTTGCGTGTCGTAAAAACAGGGGGTCAAAACGTCGGGAGACGGGGACTCCGGTGTAGGCGGCGTGCGGGCGGCGGCATGGCGGGGCCGCCCCCGGGCCGAGGCCCCGCCAGCGCGGCCTGCTCTAGCACTAGGCCTCTGGCCCTGACCAGCCCGGCCCTGGCCCCTACACGAGGTCTGGCCACTCTGCCTCGCTCGGCAGTATGACCAGGTTCTCAGCGGCGAGGGAGGCCCACTTGACGCCCGCCGCGGGGCTGGCCAGCAGCGCGCCATTGCGCCCAAACACGCTCACGCCGCCGCCTGGGAAGAGCGTGTCGCCGAACGTGGCGTCCACGCGCGGCGTGAGCGAGCGGTAGCCGCTCAGCCGCAGCAGCACCTTCTTGCCGCTGGTGTTGACTACAGAGACCTGCGGTGGCGGGGTGGGTGGGGTGGGGGGGAGGAGTGTGTGCGTGTGTGTGTGGTAAGGTGGCGTGAGAGTGTGTGTGTGTGAGGAGGCAGAGGGAACCCCCCCCCACACACCCAGTGCACCACCGCCGCGACGTGAGACCACTGGCTTGCCGGGTCCCCGACCCCGGCGCCATCCCTGCCGCGGCGGCAAGGCAAGGCAAGGCTGGGGCGGCCCCCCACCCGCAGCTCCCCCCACAGACACCCGCAGCTTCCCCCCACCTGCGCCGCCATGTCAGCATCCTCTGCGTCGCTGGTCACGTAGTTTCCAAAGGTGATGCACACCCGGTCCTGCGCCTTGGGCAGCACGTGGTACACGGTACGGGTGACCTGCGGGGGGAGGGGCGGCACCGGGCGGCAGGTGACGGCGGCTCGCGGGGCGGCGGCGGGCGGGGCGCGGCGGCGGCAGGGTGCCCTGCTCCCCAGAAGGGGCGCGAGCCGCTCGTGACCTGCTCTACCCGCTCGTGCGCATTGTGTTCCGGGCTGCTTGGTATAGAGTCAGGCGTGGGCCGCTGTTCCCTAGGCCGCCGCCGTCGGCGGCCGCCTGCTCCCGGCCTGCCTCCTCCGTGCATCCGGCGTGCCGCCTCCCTGCATCCGGCCGCCGCCGCCGCGCACCCACCTCCTGCCTCGTGCGCACGTCGGCGGTGGTCAGCTTGATGACCACGCGCGTGGAGGTGAGGAACTGGAAGGCCAGGGAGGTGGTGGTGTTGGTGGTGCCAGCCACCCTGCCTGCCACATCATCGGGCAGCGCGGACCATGATGCGATGGTGAGGTCGGCGTTGGGGTCGGAGCTCACGCCCGCGCCCTTGGAGCTGCGCGGGGAGTGAGGGAGTGAGGGAGTGAGGAGGGGAGGGAGGGAGGAGGGAGGGCGGCACGGGGCTGAGCGGTCGCAGCTGCGCACGCTCCACGCCCCAGCCCCAGCGGGGTTTGCGGAGCGCGCGCACACACACAGCGTTCCGGACACCACCCCACCGCCTACCCTCGCCACACAACAG